ACAAAACTTTCACTCACATGTGAGTTTGTTTATTAGCTCAATAAACCAAGACTAACTTTTCGAGCTCAAACTTATAACATTAAAATTGCAAGGTAAATTTCTCACCATTTGTACCAAGCCGAAGTACTACATGTGTAAAATGGGTTAGTTATGGTACTCGTAACTAGTAGGCCTGTACAAAACTAGTATCCAAGAATCCGATTCGCAACCGATCCGAATTTTTAGATATTCGATTTGAGTTTTCATTTCGGATAGGATATCCGATCTGAAAAAGTGGATATCAAATGCAAATTTGGATATTGATTTTCAAAATTTCGAATATCCAATATGCGAAATATAAAGGCTGAAATAGTGAAATATATATATAAATTTTTTAAATTGTTCATTTAAAACTGACCCTTTATTATTAACTTATTATAATATTCTTAATATATTTGATGATAATATTTATTGCAAAAAGACTACTATTTTGTTAAAATATGTTGTACAATTTAGCAATAAAAAGGTAAAATTAGTGAAATTTAGAAAGTAATCATAATCAATTTTACTTAATATTGGATAATGGATATCTGAAACATTCGATCCAAAAATTTTGGATATCCGAATATCGGATATTCGAAATTTTCGGATCGAATTTGGATATTAATTTCTGATATCCGAGTATTCAGATATCCGATCCAAAATATGATTTCGGATCAGATATCCGATCTGTAAACAGGCCTAGTAGCTAGCTTACAAAAAATGACAACTTTCTTAAAGCAATACCTGAAAATACAGGTACATTAGGGAAAATTGTGTAGAATTACCCGGAAGATAGGCTGTTTTGTGAAGAACTATCCATTTTTTTTTATTTGTTTATAACTACCCGAAAGTTTGAAAACATTTGGGTAGCACTACCCATTAACGTTTTCCATCCAAAAAATCGTTAAAGGGCCCCACATTGTACACGTGTCATTTTTTTATTGGATAAAAAAATTAAAAAAAAAAAAAAAAAACAAACCCAGCCACCCCAACCACCATGAAACCCTATCCCCTACCCCCAGCCACCACCAAAATCCGGCCGGCCTCCCTCCTGAACCTCCGAAAACGGCTGGCCACCATTGCCAGCCCACACCACCAACTCCACTCACCCTGAACCACCGCAAAACCAAACGACTCACCCGAAACCACCCCTGAACCAACCCGAAACCACCCCCACCCACCCCTAAACCAACCCGAAACCACCTCCACTCACCTTAAACCACCGAAAAACCACCCGACTCACCGAAACCACCCATGAACCAACCTGAAACCACCCCCCACTCACCCCAAAACACCGGAAATCATCTCCCACTCACCTCGATCCATCTTGAACCCACCCTTACTCACCCCAAAACACCGCCCATTCACCACCAATTCACCGCAAACAGCAATTCGACACCCAATTTCTACAATTTCAAGCTTTAATTGCAGCAATTTGGCAAAGAGGAGAGAGAAAATGGGTGGAGCGTTGTTGGTGATGCTCTAGCTTCGGGAAGAAGAAAAGAGGAGAGAGAGAAGACGACTTGTGATGTAGGTTTTAGTGGCAGTGGTGGCCGACCATTTTCGGATGTTAAGGAGGGAGGTCGGCCGGATTTTGGTGGTGGCATGGGTTAGGGGCTAGGGTTTCATGGTGGCTGGGTTTGTTTTTTTTTTTTTTTTTTTTTTAATTTTTTTATCCAATAAAAAAATAACACGTGTACAATGTAGGGCTCATTAACGATTTTTTTGGATAGAAAACGTTAATGGGTAGTGCTACCCAAGCGTTTTCAAATTTTTGGGTAGTTGTAAACAAATAAATAAAAAAAGGATAGTTATTCACAAATTAACCTATTTTCCGGGTAGTTCTACACAATTTTCCCGGTACATTATTACTGTTACATACAAACAACATGAAATAAACCCATACAAAGTGAGGGTCAAGTCAGAGAAACTCTGAAGAAGATGAAATATTAAAAAGTTACGTGGTGCAAATTGAGATATAAGTAGCTTCGTTGCAACGTCGAGAAAGTAGGCACGTATATATACTTTTCGACCCATAAAAAATCTGCATTAAACCCAACAACCCGACAAACCCACAACTTATGTAATCGGTAATCCATCGTTTTGTTACGACAAATTCAGACCTCAACATTGTTGGCTTTATTCATAACCCCACAACTTTTCGGTTGTATATTTTTCTATTATTTCCTTCCTCATATAATCTATATTTTTTAATCTTATATTAATATTATACTTGTATAATGGTGTATTTAATGCAGATATGTGATATTGTCGTTATTCGATATTAATGAACCAAGTGTATATTATATAGTTTTATGTATTGCTCGTTGGATTTTGCACCAACTTATATGGAGGGTATGTTTAGCTTCTTCTTGGTGTTATTGGAGAATGAATAGTATTGTATTGTATATTGTATGTCGACTAGTTAGCTATTTGTGCAGTGGCCTTTACACTGATCTATGTTGCTTCTTAATTAACCTAGCTAGCTTGATCATCTATATCCATTACGGAACTCGCGGCCGGCCTAGTTCGAAATTATTTTTCATGCTATTTACTAGTCCAAATTATGTACACATACATAAACTTATACGAATATCATATATGATGGAGGATTGGAGAGTGTGTGTCTTCACTCTCTTGCAAGACAAGCTGTTAGACTGTTAGGCATAACTGACAAGACTGTGTAATTAGATTTGAAAGGAAAACGAGTAGAATCAGAATCAAATGTTAAGGGTGGCATATAAGTTAAGATAGAAAAGCACGTACGTAGATGTTTGGACTTAGGCCCTATTTAGTTCACCTTATTTTTGCTTATCTGAATTTATCTGATCTGGTATGATCTTATCTGATCTAGTCTGATATGATCTGATCTTATTGTCTGATTTGACCAAACTTTGACCTTAAGTTTACGATAATCTGTAACGAAAAAATATATCAAGTGGGATCTTGTTAGATTCATAATAATGTGTATTTTATTAATATGTACTCCCTCCGTCCCTTATATTTTGCCCCATTTACCATTTACGGTAGTCCCTTATTTTTTGCCCCATTCTATTTTGGGCCATGTTCCCATATTGTAAACTGATTCATTAACCTCGTTTAGCCCTCTTAAACCCTAATGCCTCAGCCTCTTTTTCTCCCCTGATCTCCTCTTACCCACTCTCTCTCCTCAATTGGTAATGGCTCTCTCCCTTCCATCACCACCTCTCTTCTTCCTGCGTTACAACCGAGGCTGCTTCTGCTCCCTCCTTGCCCTTTTTTTTGTTCTCTAAAAACCCCATCAAAACTGAAATCCCCCTCTTCCTGTTCTTTGAACAGTGAAATCCGGCTTGCTACTTAATCTTTGCTTCGTCTTTGTTTTTCATTGTTAGAAAAGCTTTGATTTTTTTTTGAATAATTCTTGCCCAAAGTTTGTAAACTCGTGGTGTTTCAATTCATTTCCAGATCTATTTAGATATGAGCTTCAATGGTAAGGGTGGGTTTAATTCGGAGTTAAATGACGAGGATTATGATTTCTTGAAGCATAATCTTTTTTTAAACCATACCCCTACCTTAAACAACTCCGATGATGACGAAGAGGAGTTTATCCCCAACACCCCTGCAGCAACCGTTACTAGCTCGCCACCTCCAGGCCTGATTCGTGCCGGAGACACCATTATGCATGCAGTCTGCCCGACCACCCAGCTTTACTACTAAAGGGGGTAGCAATTCAATCCCTTCTAGAAGGCTGGGGGTGGTCAGATATAGGGGTTCAAAAAGGGCTATCGACTTTGGTACTTCTGATATAAAGTTCAACGCTGATGTTTTTGAGTTCCAAGGGCCGGAAAATAACTTCTCCGGCCAAAATTCAGAAAATGGAGGTGAAATGCTTCGATTTCTTTGTCCTCTTTATTTTTGTGATCCGAAAAATCCAGATAACCTATTAATTACCCTAAGGTTTTATAAATGGAGTATTTGTGATTGTTAGTCTAAATCTGTTAGTATTTGTGAATTAGAGTATTTGTGATTGTTAGTCCAAATCTCTGAATTAGCCTTACTTTTTATAAATTTTTTGGCTATTGACTTAGTTATGACGGTGGAGTATTTATGTATTTGTGAATTGGAGTATTTTTTAATTCGAACTCTGATTGTCTTAATCTGTTAGTATTTGTAATTGGAGTGTTTTTTAATTCGTACTCTGATTGTGTAATTCAATGAACTTGGTATATGTGTTTGCTTGGTACTGTGTGGTTATTGTAAGGTGGATTAATGATCCTAGTTTCATTTGACAATGAGAAGGTGAAATGTTGCTACAATGTTGTTGTTCTGTATTATTGATTAAGTAGAATTATTAATTGACAGTGAGACCCTATGATGAGTATGTGGAAAACCTACTATGAGGGAGGTAGGGGTGCAGCTTATGTAATGCCACTCCATCTTTTTTTTGATGTTTGACGAGGCACGATTAAGCAGTCCCTTAAACACGTATTTTTTGCCACTCCATCTTGTGGGATGTTTGATGTGGCACTGTGATGCCACTCCATCCCGTAGATGTTTGATGAGGCACATAGTTGCAATGTTGTTGCCAACCCCATGATGATCACAACACTATGATAAAAAAAAAACAATTCTAAGTTGTGTATTGTGTGTTCTTCTTCCTGTTTTGTGAACACATACATTAAAGTAATAAATAAAGTTGATATAATTCATAAGTTGGTTTATTTATAATTACAGGATAAATTGCATAATTGCAACCTTCTAAACTTCACAAAAGTACATCCAATCCCTATAGACATTACACAAAATGGGGCAAAATACTAATGACAAAGTAGTCATGATCATAACCATTGTACGCTACCTATTTCAACCATCTAACAACATTTGACTACTCTGCCAGGTTACTACAAATTTGTACATCAAAAAATTCTTGATATGTTTTCATAATTTGCATTGTTTATCTTATGGAATAACATGCCACTACTTGAGTTGCTTGAGTTGTATCACCTCCTTGAAATGCGCATGTCCTGCATCATTCCTTCCAATTCATGAACTTGCATAGACGTGTCCTGCCCAATTGAGATATTAGTTTCCCTTGGAATCTGCTCTGTTTCTGCCTCTGCTCTTTCTTCTTTGTATTAAACAGTGTTTGTCAATCTATGTATTCCATGTGTTGTTGTAGCAAAGATGTCATACTTTCTTTTAGCAACTGAATTGGGACTTCTATGTAAGTTGGCAAATTCCCTGCTCTTTCCATCCTTTCCTTTTCATGATGTGGTTGTATATTATTATTTGAACCATGCACCATCATTATCTCAAGCATGCAATTCTGTAGGCTAAGAAACACATGATTAACTTTACGAGGCTCAAAAATTTCATAAGCATACTTGACAACACTTACTAGCTCGTCTACATTTCTAGGGGCTTGTTGGTGTTGAATTGCTTGAATTGCATTAAAGAACCCTAAGTCGAGAACATTAAAGTCCGGACTGTTTGGGGGTTGTGCTATAAGATGTATGTTGAAACCATCTGTGTTTGCTGCGTTTTTGAATTTAATGTCATGTAGTTGCAAATGTGGTGTAGCATTATCTTGTTGAACCCAAATGGTTCCACATGCATCAATTGGCCAATTTGCCTTGATTGAGGGAAGTAATTGCTCAATAAATAACTTCCTTATCACTGATTGTGTAATATTCTTGATTGGTTTTGTCTCCAAAGTGCCAGCCACTCTATGTATGCTAGATCGCTTTGCTGGAATAACTTCTGTCAGTGGGAAACATCCTAACTTCCCATCAAATAGACATTCACCATCTGGTCCACAAACTGCTCTGGACAATGCAACCTCAAACATTACTTTGGTATCGTACCTTTTGGACTTACAATTCCGGTAAGGATGTGCTTCATTTGGTGCCAAATAAAATGTTTGTGAGTTTTTTGTCATAAAAAACCATTTCTCATCAATGTGTACCACGTTATACATATCTCCAAATCAAGGGATGGTATTAATTGTGTTTGGGATTACTTGTTGCATGCACCATCGTAGCCTTTGTATCTTATTCACAGCTGTGAGTGTTGGTTTGATTGCATTACTATGCCTTAAGATCATGCCTTTGTTTACAAACCTCCCAACTGTTGACTTGTTTATTTTCATTGTTGAAGCTACTGACCTAATGTTCCCCCTTTTTTTCAAAGGGATTGCCATCAATTGTTCAACATTAAGTTGAATTGGTTTTCTGCCAGCCTTTCCTTTTTTATTCTTGCTGATTTTGATGCTTTGTTTCAAACATACACTAAGCTTCACATGCTTCCATATCCTTTGCAAAGTCCACCTACTAACACCTATGAATGTGGGAAAGTTTGGTAATTGTCCCTGGAAGTAGCTTGAGGTTTGTTGTTGCATGTAGGAGGCTCTCTATGCACACCTTCCTTTCGACATCTTTCATGTCTTTCCTGCATTCATGTTGTTCAGTTGTTGCTTGAGCTGTTGCTTGGGTTGCTGCCTGAGTTGTTGCCTGAGTTCCTGCATGAGTTTCTGCCTGAGTTCCTGCCTGAGTTGTTGCCTGAGTTGTTTCCTGAGATGATGCCTGAGTTGTTTCTAGAGATGATGGCTGAGTTGTTGCCTGAGATGATGCCTGACTTGTTTCCTGAACGTAGTTGTCACTTGAGTTGTTTCCAATGAAGCTAAGAAAATCACTTGTTTCCATTTCGAAATTTGGCATCGGTAAAAAGAGTCCCTTAATTACTTGATGATGGTAAAACTGAGAGTAATTCCCCCCTCCGTACCCCTCCCCTATGTAATTTTCTTAATTTTTTTCTTTACAATTTTACTGCACTCTGTGTTTTTTGTGTTCTCAGGTGGTGGAAAGTAAAAGGAGGAAGAGAAACAAGTGTGCTACTGCTCTTTATACTGCCCTGATTTTTGTTTAGGAGGGAAAAATTTCCCTCCAAAATTTTGGATAATTACTGTAACAAATTTCTGAATTGTAATTTTGTACAGTGAACAATTGTGAGTGGGACTCAACTTTTACTCTATTTCTGAAATGTATTAAGCAGCCCACTTACAGATTCTCTCTCTACATTTTGTTAATTATTTCAAAATGATGTTTTAGGGATTATAACAATTTTCACTCTTTAGCATATCTTAATAAAGCAATAAATGGGGATGGGGCAAAATATTGGGGACAGAGGGAGTAATTTTCATAATTTTTTTCATTACGAAACTAAAGATATTTAGCGATAAAAAATTGCACATAAAACGATGATCTGATCTGAACTTATTTTTTCTGATCTGATCGAATCTGAACTTGTTTTTTTTTTCTAAAATAAGTAAAAATAAGCTGAACTAAACAAGACCTTAAAAAGAATAAGACTCTTTCCAATGACATTATAACTAACTTATTATACGACGTAATTCATTTAATTTCATATGACACTTTTTTTATATTAGTGATAATCCTACAATGAATGAATGTATAATAAAGTTTAAATTAATCATACCTATAATAATTATGTTAATTTAATTTTGAAAATAATAAATGAACGATAAGAAACTATACTGTTTTGAATTCTATATTTTACTTTTTAATCTATATAAACAAAATGCAAAAAACGATAGCCCACATGTTCATATTCATAGACATATATAATTTCATGATTTTTACTATTATTTTTTCAAAAACTTTTAACCTGAAAAGAAAAATAATACGAGTAACGTATAAGCCGCAAAATTACAAATTTAAGGTCATTTGACTTGCCTCACCCCCATTTAGTCATTCACTCAATGACTCAATCTATTTGACGTTATTATTCATGAGGTACGGTCTACGGTGGCCGGCTCTCAATCTCTAATTAAGCAATCCAATCATTAATTTTCTCATCACTTTGTGAGTTGGCTAAGAAAGGCAACGCAAGTCAATATTCTGAGGTGGCTCTCATTCTCATTCACAACCCTGTCTATTATTCAATCAATTATATTGGATTATTTAATTTATGGTATGTGACCTATTTCCTTTACATTTTCTTACAAATATTTGTGTTGGTCCAAATAGCATATGACTAGACCATGAATTGAAAATGGAACTTAATTAATTAAAAGTTTATCATAACTTATGTTAAAAGACAGTGCCGGGGCGACAACTCTCATACTATGACACAAAATCGTACAAGAAGCAAATGATCAAAAAAATATGTTCCATAAGGCAACCATTATAAAAACAAACGACTTGCCGAACTTGATGATTTGAACCAAAGCTACCAACAGAGCACAAGGGGGCATCCGCGATCCTAACCATATGGCACTGAGCGAGATTATCACGTACCAACGTTAATTGGCAGTCGTATGAGTAACCCTACTGAACATAAAACATTTACTACGTATTATAATCTTATTGGAAACAATTGATATTTATGGCTAATAAAACCAAACAATTAACGATCAATCCAAATTGATAGGTTACCTCAAATGTAGGTTTACTTTGACACCAAGTCTCACAATTTGATGTATGGTTGCCGGTGTCCGGTGACAAGATTTATCAATAGGCTGGTTGCTTATAAATAAGCACAACAATGAGCTTAGCTTAATCCCTACTTATAAGCTTCCACCTTTCTAATCTATAATTCAATGCAAATTTCTTTAATTAGACGTAGGAACTAAAATCTACTTAGATTGTTACTTGTACAAAATATATCTTTTAAATATTAGTGCTTAACTAAACAAGATATATATACATTTAATAAAATCTAATATATTAAAACATGCTAAACAACATCATCACATTAGAAACAAGGATACATAGGCTAATACGCAGTAGATTAATACTTAGTCTCCTATATTATCGTTTAACCATACATTATTGGCCCGACCAAATATCGCTTTATAAATATACACTTCCCGCAACTTAAAGAAAGGAATCAATTGATCGATATGATTCAAAGAATTGGGCATGAAAAAGGATTATCAAAGGCAAAACTCCAATAATGTTGTCAGAAAAGAAATTAATTGTTAATCTTCCTATTATCATGTATCATATCATTCATATTATTATATGAATGTATGTACTAATGTACAACTCCTTTTTAGAATGACAGCGTAATTAATAAATTAAGGATCAAAGGAAAGTTGATAACCAAGTTTACGTATAATTATCATGCAATTATTAGATTAGCTTATTGTATTTGATTTGATGGGACACCAAAACAAGACAACTACTTTGAGCTTTTTTGCTTGATTTTTCAAAGCTAGTTGTAAGACATTATGCTTCCTTTTCCTGCATTTCATCAACAATTCATCAAATATAAAATAGATTTTTAATTATTGAAATAATATATCTGTCTTAGTGCAATGTTTAATACTGTAGTTTACACTATAATAATTGACTAATTTTGTAATTTGCAAAATTGTCATGTCGAACTAATTATATACTTCGTCCCACGAAGCTTCATTCTTCTTGCCACCGAAATACAAGTATATTTTCAGACAATTTTAGTTATCATGTCGTTGATTCTTCAATCATATTTCCTTTTTGACTATAAGATCTAAGTTTGAATGGTCTTCCACAATGTGCACAATTAAAAAAGTTATCAGATTTGGCATGACATGACTGATAAATATGGGTATTAGTTCCAATACCATGACAACCAAATATGGGTTTAAAATTAGCTCAATAAGCCCATGTTCTTTTGGATTGAATTTTTAATATTTCAATTAAGTCAATTTATCTCATTAATTTCATTCAGTTCAGTTCAGTTATGTTCAAGTTTAGTTTAACTCATACTTCGTACTTTGTCCATCAATATATGGTTTGTTCTACGTAGTAATAAAACATTGGCTAACGAGTTGAAAGCTTTTCTTACCTTAACACAAGATTAGGTGAGAAAGTCATGGATGATAATGAAATATTGTACTTATCAAATCCTCTTTGATGTTTCCAAATGTTGCAAGAATTTTCTAGTCAGTAACCACGAATTGCAATCGAAGATACCAACCACAAATTCAGATATGCAATCCCATTAGCTGGGAAAATTGAACCCTTACATAGGACATGTTTAATATTTAAATATCTTATAGTATCTTAGTACGATTATGAATGCAATAGCAAATAATCTCTAATACGGAGTAGTATCTAGAATTATGTACACTTAAATGTATAGTAGACAATTCTGGTATCTAAAAATTGGAAAGAATTAGGAGTTTTTGGACATTGAAGCTCTGTTATACTTTCCGTTTCTTATTGTTTGCACCATTTGATCTAAAAGTCTCTTACAAAAAGTAGGCCCATAGTACAAACAAATAGGGACTGAGGGAGTACGTAGTAAATATGAAGGATAGTATTTTACCTTTTCTGTGTACGTGCTTGGTATCTTCAATTAGGAGTGAGCATGAGTCGGGTACCTGTACCGTTAACACTATCGGTTTGGGTAATCGATAACCAAAAACACTAAAAATGATATCCATGAACCGAACCGATATGTTTGGGTACCCGGATTTTCAGATCGGTTATCGGGTACCCAATATGATATTCAATAATGAAAATTTAGACTTTATAGTTCAGTTATTATGATATCATTCAACATTAATTAACAACAATACCACACGATCTTGACCAAATTACAAATAATATTACTAATCATTCAAATTACGAAGTGATTATGAAATAAAGTAAAAGTTTAGTTTTTGGATAAATCGATTTAAGTAGGAAAATAAAAAAACTTGCTTATCGGATCGGATGGGATCGGGTAACCGTTAATTTTATAATGATACCCAATAACCATATACTCAATAAGAAAATTATCGGATCGGGTACTTGAACCGTTATGACTATCAGATCAGGTACCCTAATTTTCAGATTGGTTACTGTTCAAATTTTCGGATTTTTAGTTTTTTCGGATAATTTGCTCAGACCTATCTTCAATGTCTAAAACTCTAAACATTGTTCAATTATTTTAGGCCATTCAGTTAAGGTAAACCTAATAAAGTTGATACTGTTTGATCCAATCTGACAATAGGATATCAGATCCAGCCCAATTAGCCAGATTCAAATGCTACTATTTGACTATATTGGGTTTTCCTCTTTTCTCACGTTACATTTCTTTAGGTTTTGGGCTCAAAATCAATTCCTAGGCCCAAAATCTACAGCTACTCTACTCAAGGGTCCATGTTGAAAGTATAAAATAAAATTCAAATTTATAAGAATAATTGTAATTTCAATCTAAATGTCTGTACAGTATACAAGACACAATCATGCTAAGAAGCCTATACCACCATAAATTTTGGTAGCCATCTTCTTTCTTTCTCTTTAAACATTTCTATTTGTATAATTTAGCACCAAAAAAACTACTTCGTACTACGGAATATATACAATTAACTATAATTTAGGAAGGATCCATAAGTTTAAGAGAGATGATGCAAAAGACATAGACCAAGACAAGAAAGCCATGGCAGCAGAAAGAGAATATCTACTGCAGATTTTAACAGGACACGCCGGAATGCTTTCAGCAATCATGATTTGTGCAACACTTGCAGATGAGCAAGCTGCTCCTAGCGAAAGGAATGACAAAACCTGATAACACATAAGAAAGAAGATGTCTACCATTTACCTTTGCAATCTAGGATTCAAGATAATAAATTCAAGGGAATGGAATAGTGCAGATGAATTACCCAATCTCCTACAACAATTACAGTCATTACTCCAGGTTGACGCGAAGGGCTCTTAATAAAGACAGAATATGCATCAACTAGCCCCAATGTCATACTCCACGGAATCACCAAACCCATAACCGTTACTAAGAAGCTGCATAACAGTAAGAAAGAATTCAATTAAAAAGCATTGCAAGAAAACTAGCTGACAACTATGCTTCATCTTTGACAAGTAAACAAAGGAAATTAAAATTTTATATCACGTCCATTGTTTACAAGCAGGATCCATTATATATAAGAGGGAAGTAGCAAGCACATCAATTATGCCCATCAAAAGTCTTTCAAAAAGTATCTTAAACTAAACAGAAAAAGAAAATAGCGTAAATTCTTCACTCTACTGCAACAGAATAAGTTTTGCTGCTCACTTTTTTGGGATAGCTAAAACTTGAGAAAACATGAAACTCCACAAGTCCACACTTCCTACAATTTTAATAACACCTTTAAGTAGTAAACATAACATGTAGTAAGGCAAAATCTTGAGCTTTCAGTTCTCAGATTATGATCATTTCAGATAGCCTCTACTGACTCTAAAGTATGAGCTTTAAATTATTACTGTTTCCTATTGGAATATTAAACTCACAATTTCTCGTATCATTAATCCTCAATTCCTCATCATCGAACAATTAGAGAACTTAAACATTACAGAGTTACAAAGACAGAGACGGCTAAGCAATAATCCATTGATCCAAATTAGCATGTGTACTAAAAAAAATATAATCCCTTCCGATGGTACAATGCATAATGGACTAATGGGCTATTGTCTTAGCTTGAGATACAAACAAATAGCTCTAGATGTAAGTCTGTGGGTTATGAGATCGACATAGATTCATAAGTTCATTTCCTTCTTGATCACCACTCTTAACTGTTTTCTGTCAGAAAGGCTCCTCTTCCCAATCCTACTCCATTTACCCACAGATAATAGCCAGATTGTGTCCACTAGTATTAGGTGCTTTTGACCTTAAAAAACCATAGTCCATTCAATTTCCATTGATGTCTTCTCTTCACAAAGTAAAATTTAAATTGTTTGCTGGCATCAAGAACTAGTTATTGGCCTTAGTGCATCATAAAGATACTTTTATGTGACAGTGTGGCTTGAATAATACAGATACTCTAGTTTGGGGCTTAAGTGAGGTGCATCCTTGATTGTTGTGTGATAGTGTGACTCGTATACGGAGTAACACAGATACTCGAGGTAGAGACTCAATCAAGATGCATCCTTGACTGTGAAACAATAAATAAACATTGAACTGAAGATATATCACAGCACTGAAGCAGCTGTGCAGAGGACTGCAGGAGTGCAGGGGTGTGATAAATTAGCCGATACAACCTGCCTGTAATATTGGACAGTCAAGTCATGATGTGTGTCTGCAGTCAGGGACAGACATGAACATGATCTGCCCGGGCTTTTCTAGCCCGCAGGATATTGTGAGTGTTTTTTTTACAGCAGATTGCAGTCTGCATTCCAAATGGAATAACTACACGACAGTTTTGGCTTCTCACACTACATGCTTGGTGAACCATCTAAGACTCTAGGATTTATGAACCATTCAAACACATCTAAAAGCAAAACTAACCTCGAAATTGCGACCGGGGCCTAGGGACTGATCAGTGATCACAATAACATTGACCCCATAATCCACAGCATTCATCAATGACAGTATCAGCATGTGAATGATTGAAAGGTTGATCAAAGTGATCAAACCTATAAACGAACCAACCAAACCAACATCCAAACCCCTCAACAAGGCACATGGTTTCATTTCCATATATGATAATCTCTGAAGTCCCCTAATCTCAGAGAAAATGCATTTTACAGCGATTAATATAATCGCAATGCTCAATTCCATCATAATCGGAGTAATAAAAAACAAAATAATTTAACATCACAAAATTAAACAATTCTATTCAATCCCTTTGTACAACTGAATTTTCTGTAAAAACCTTTTTAATTCCCATTACATATTTAACAATTCTACCCTTCCCCCAAACAAAATTCATAACCTATGATGGCAATCAACTAAAATATACAAACAAAAAAACAGAGGAAATTAACTGTAAAAATCACATGCACATATATAAAATCAATAACTCAAATTCACATTAAAAGGGTGTAATCGATTGATCGAAAAGGGAGTAAAAATCATACCAAAAAGCAGTATAGGAATAGAAATCAACATCAAGGCACATGAAAAAGAGGGAAGCAGAGGAAAACATTATTTGACCAAATCGAAGAGCTAAGCTTGCGCTGGTGCCCAATGATCCTGGCACTTCATCCACCATTTTCTCTCTCCTCTTCTCTTCTTCTTCTTCTTCTTCTTCTTCTTCTTCTTCTTCTTCTTCTTGCTACTAATTCTCTTCATACTTTTTTTCTCTCATTTTTATTTTTCTAAATTATTTGACAGTTTTTATTAAAAAAAATTAGAAGAAAATTAAATGCTTTGGTGTTAAATGTGAAGTGCCCAGTATATTTTTTTTTTTTTTTTTTGTTAAAGTAACAGCTTCTCACCCACCACTAGTCAGCAGCGTGGAAAACAATTGCGGAGAAATGTGTGGAATGAATTGGATGATGAGATTCAATTCATTCATTCAATTTAATTGATTTCAGAATTCAGAATTGTATTTATGTTCATTTAACTATTTCAAGGGGTGTTTAAGAATTTTGGACTGTCAATTGGTCCTACAATTTTTTTCTTTGGTTGTTTTAAACATTGAGTTGTACTTGTACTTCATATATGGGTGGATCTAGCCACGTAAGGCAGGGGTAGTGGTATGAGATACAAGTTCACACTTTTTACGTTTTAGATTAGATATATTGTTAAGGGAGGTAGAAACGGAGAGCAGTTTGGGCAAAAGTTGAAATCAACTACTCCGTACAAGAATCACGTAAATAAGGAATTCGGGAAATATCACTAATGATATGATGTGCGCTTGTGTGGGATACTGGAATATATTTATATATGTAGTGTGAAAAAAATGTTTGCTTTTCTTAGAAAGAAATAAACGGAGTACATTATTTGTAAAGCTTTTTTTTTTTTTTGGAAATTATTGTTTTTATGGGAAAAAATAGAGAAAATAATTATTAATTTCTTTGTTTTATCATGTATTTATGTTTGTTACACATACACTTCTTTTATTTATATTTAGTTGTAACGGTTTAACTTTTGTATTATTCACACTTCTCCTTGATTTTATTGACATACGTAAAATGAGATATGTTACAATCAAAAATGAAACAAAGAGACTCAAGGAAGTAGTAGAGTGTAGAAAAAGTTCACATAGATGACTATGAACCATCGAGGTATGTACTTGGGGCTTGGAGCATTATTAAGCATTTAAATACATGCATGAAAAAGACAAAGAAAAGAAAGAAAAAAGGGTGCACTAACAAACTAAAAATGAAGAAGTATTGGTAGAGATATAAAGTTAGGCGACAAAATCTTTGAATACCTAGTGGACCATTTAAAAAGAGGTTGATGAGAGCAAATTACAGATGAGCAGTAGCCAATTCAAAGGACGATATTAAATCTTGTTACCAGCCATTCTTTTTGTAGTACCTCTAGCTAATCAACTTAGTTGATTGGGTGGTTAAGGGTGTTGGATACTTTAACTAAAATTAAGCATATTTTAATTGATTTTTAATTTAATGTATTTAATTTTTAAAATTTAAAATATAAATTAAAATCCTTTCATTTTCAGTTAATGTATTATTTGCATATATTTACTCATCATATTTTAATATCATCATTATGGGGTTTGTAACTCATAATATTTATTACTAAATTATAATTGTTTAATTTTCAAAAATTAAAAACGTTGCTATTACTAACGTCAAAGACTTAAAGTTACTTTGCTATTATGATTTGGCTTTATTACAATGACTGAGGATGAGATTTCATGGTAAGTTTTTAATGCCAATTTAAATGATTGATTGGGGGTTACAACATGCATCTCGCATGAAGTTACATGAAGTAATACTCTACCAGTGCAACTTACACAATTCTTGGGTTTTATAAATATGTTGCTTTTGAACATCAATTTGATATACACAATTTTTATAACAATCTCATATTTGAATAATATACAAAAGTCGGGTATTTTGATTATACATATAAGCTTCTACTTCTTAATACGCAGATTAGGGAGTGTATAAGTTGGGGTTTTATCTTGGGGACGACGCGCCATTTACTCCTTGCGATTTGTATTGGAGGGCGTGAATCGTCTTGAGGAGAGTTGAAAGTTATCCGCGACTCGCCCAACTAAATTTCCAGATTATTTTTCACTTTATATTTCTTTATTTTCCCATTTTTTCCTTGTATTATTTCCAACAATCTCAAGACGAGCCATGGACCCTTCACCACTTCCAATCCCAATGATTTTAACAAGCCTTTTAAATTTACCGGTGAGTTTTTCAAGCGTTGGTCCAAGAAGGTGTTGTTTTACTTGAAACTCATGAAGGTAGTATGGATTTTGGACACCAAAAATCCTACTAAAAAAGATACCACCGGAATGAAACCCGAAGAGCTCGAGAAGCACAATAAGGAAGTTGAGAAGTGGAAGAGCGACGAAGAAGATTGTAGAAATTATTTACTCAATTGTTTGTCCGATGAACTCTATGACTACTACTCTAATTTCTACACCAATGCAAGGAAGATATGGAAACCTCTCCAACAAAAATTAAATATGATACCGAAGAAGTCGGAGCCAAGAAGTTCGTTTGTAGCAAGTTCTTCAATTTCAAAATGGAGGATAACAAGTCCGTGGTGGCACAAGTTCAAGAGCTTCAAAAATACGTTCATGATATCCAATCCGAAGGCACCGTGGATGAACAAATGCAAGTTGCGGCCATCATTGGCAAGTTTCCACCATCATGGGGCGAATTTCAAAAGACCTTGAGAGGGAAGCAAAATGACTTAAAGGTAATCGATCTCATGACAAGGATACGTGTTGAGGAAGAATCACTAAAGCGTGACAACGTGGCAAAGAATGGTAATGGTGATTCTAGTAAGGTAAATTTATCACTTCTAGTGAGGACTCTCCTAAAGGTCATAACAATGGTAAAAATAATACTCACTTTAAACCTAAGGGTAAATTTTTTTAAGAATAAAGGTCATGGCAAACATAACCATAATAGAAATAATAATTATAAGCCTAGTTCTAATAATAACGGAAATGAATCTCACACCAACTCCTCTAATAATAAGAATCAATTTAATAAACCTCAATGTTGGGTGTGTGGTAAGTATGGTCATATTGCTAAAAATTGTAGAAATAAGAAAGATGGACCTACTTCTCAAGCCAACATGGTGGAGGAACCTCTTGTAGCCATGATTACTGAAATTAACATGGTTGATAATGATGAGGGTTGGTGGATTGATACCGGGGCTTCTAAACATGTTTGTCATGATAGAAATTGGTTTAAAAATTATCACCCTACCAATGTCGAAAGAAAAGTCCTTCTAGATGATTCTCACTCTACCAATGTTCTTGGTGTTGGTGATATTGAGCTTATATTCACTTCTGGAAAAGTTTTGACCTTGAAGGATGTTCTCCATGCTCCTCACATTCGTAAGAATCTTGTTTCCGGTTATCTCCTCGACAAAGCAAGTTTTGAACAAGTTATTAAATCCTATAGTTATACCATTACCAAGAATAATGTATTTGTTGATAAGGTTATGCTTGTGATGAAATGTTCAAATTGAATGTTGAGATGAATAAAAGTACTACTAATTCCGTTTATATTGTGAATTGTGTTAATGATTGGCATGCTCGTTTGTGTCATATTAATAGTAAATATATTAATGACATGAGCTATTTAGGCCTTATACCTAAATTAGTAAATAAATTCGAACAATGTGAAATTTGTAGTATGACTAAAATTACAAAGAAGTCTCACCCTAAAGTTGAAAGACATACTCAATTATTAGAACTTATACATACTGATATTTGTGAGTTTGAAGGTGTATTGACTAGAGGTGGACAAAGGTATTTTATTACTTTTATAGATGACTATTCACGTTTTATTTTTGTCTATTTGAGGAAAAATAAAAGTGATGCCTTTGACCGCTTAACCACTTTTATAAAAGAGGTGGAAAATCAATTAGAGCGTAAAATTAAAATATTTCGTAGTGATAGGGGACAAGAGTATGCTTTCTTAGGATTGATAGACCACATAAAATCCTTAGGAAATATACATGAAATTACTCCACTTTATTCACCGGAGTCTAACGGTGTAGCGGAACATAAAAATAGGACTCTAATTGCTTTGACTAATGCTATGTTAGTAAATTCTGGGGCTCCTAAAAATCTTTGGGGAGAGGCCATATTAATCGGAAATTATGTGTTGAATAGAATACCTCATAAAAAGACTTTATTAACACCATATGAGTTATGGAAAGGCCGTAAACCCAATCTTAGTTATTTTTGTGTTTGGGGGTGTTTGGCTTATGTTCGAAAAACGGATCCTAAAATTCCTAAATTAGGCATCAAAGCAACTAGATGTGCTTTTATTGGTTATGCTTACAATAGTAAGGCATATAGATTTTTAGACTTAGAAAATTATGTTGTGATTGAATCTTTGGATGTAATTTTTCATGAAGATAAATTTCCTTTTGTAAATAGTAGGGGTGATGTATCTACTAATAATGATCACTTTGTTGAAAGGTCTAGTTTCACCAAAATATTAGTTTTAGATGAACCTCCTAGAAGAAGTAAAAGAGGTAGGGTAGAAAAAAACTTTGGTTCCGATTTTCATTTGTATTCATTTGATGATTGTTTATTTGATTTAGAAGATATAATTTGTAATGTTGAAGGTGAACCTAAATCTTTGGCCGAAACTTTTTCCTCACCCGATGCTAATTTTTGGAGGGAAGCTGTTAACGATGAGTTAGAACTTCGATTTTAACTAATTTGTCACCTAGTTGTAAAGCAATAGGTTGTAAATGGGTACTTAGAAGGAAAAGAAAGCCTGATGGTACTATTGAAAAATTCAAAGCTAGGTTGGTTATACAAAGTTTTCATCAAAAGGAAAATATAGACTTTTTTAATACTTATTCTCCTATTGCTAATTGTTATTGCTGCTGTTGATAATCTTCTAATTCATCAGATGGATGTTAAAACTGCATTTTTGAATGGAGACTTAGATGAAGAAATTTATATGAAACAACCTGATGAGTTTGTTCAACCTGGGGTGGAGGATAAAGTGTGTAAACTAACTAGATCACTTTATGGCCTTAAACAAGCTCCTAAACAATGGCATAAGAAATTTGATGATTGTGTGATAGCTAATGGTTTTTTGGCCAATGAAAGTGATAAGTGTGTTTATTATAAACGTGAAGGTAATGATAGTGTTATTATTTGCTTGTATGTTGATAATCTTCTTATTTTTGGTACTAACCTATCCATTATTTCTAGTACCAAGAAAATTCTTTGTAATTATTTTGATATGAAGGACATGGGTGAAGCTTATATGATATTGGGTATGAAAATTCATAAGTGCTCAAATGGAATATTTCTTGATCAATCTCACTATGTTGAGAAAATGTTGAAAAAATATAATTATTTTGATTGCAAGCCTAGAAATAGTCCTTTAAACCTTATCCGACTGTGAATGATTGTGATGTTATTAATAAAAAAGAATATGCTAAAATTATTGGTAGCTTAAGATATGCTGCAGATACTACAAGGCCTGATATTAGTTATGCAGTCGGTGTGTTAAGTCGTTTTATTAGTAGACCTTGTCATGAACATTGGTTTGCTATAGAACGTTTAATGTGTTATCTTAAGAAAATTGTTGACTATGATATTTTTTATAAAAGACATCCTGCAATACTTGAAGGTTTTTCTGATGCTGACTGGAATTCTCTAGCCGGAGACACTATGTCTGTCAGTGGATTTGTTTTCATAATAGGTGGTGGTGCAATCAGTTGGAGATCCAAAAAGCAAATTATACACTACTACATTTTTTATCTATTGCAACGGCCTAATAAAGGCTAATACAACGGAATTATTATTGCCGTTGCAATAGAGTAGGCTATTGCCACGGAGTTAAAACTAATGCTCTTAGAGGTAGAGCTATTGCCACGGCTCTAAAAAACTGTTGCAATAGCCTAGCTATTTTAACAAAAATAATAGCTAATGCAACGGTAGTGTTGTATCATGAAAATTTTAGGTAAAGCGCGCATTGTTCCCTCTAATTTTTTCACCAAAATTTTGAACCACACGTGTTTATTACTTTTCTCACCCATTTTCTCCACTC